TTAGAGTTTTAGTGTGATTGCGTTGTCATTGTGGATGTTCTTTCACATTTGATTGTATCAATTTTCATAAGGTATCATGTAGATGTAGAAAAACAACGGGCCATATTCGATAGTCAAGTTGAATGGTCACAAACAAAAGAATTGAAGACGAGGCTTCGCGGAAATAAAACAATGATATCTTGTTTCCTCTGAGCCTCGTTTCAATTCTCTTGAGTGTGTATGGAATGTGGTCTGATAATAAAGTCCATTATGATGAATACAAGAATTGACCATCATTAATCATGCAGCGTCATCGATTTCTCCATTGAGTGGTTTATCGTTGCCAAGCAATCACCAATCAGTGGCTTCCTCAGAAGAGCTCCTGATTGGGTCCTTTCATCAAGCAGTGCATTCTGGGATTCCTAATTATGCCAAACCGCAGCTCAAAAGAAATCTTTCGCGTAAGTAATGAAAGTGATTTTTACTGTGTTGCAAGAGTTTGATGATTGTAGTTTGTACCGGGTTTGTTAACACGTCTTGAAAATGTCACTTGACGAGTATGACAGCGTGCATGCTTTTTTACAGGTGAAAGTGAAGGAAGTGAACCATCTCCAACCGAGTACAATCCACTGGATCCCTCTCTRCAGTCTAATAGAATAAGCCCCTCAGGACCCCCCACAAGACATCGTTACCTATCGAGTAGTAGTACAAGCTCCTCGATTGGTTGTGCGTCACCTGGATACACCACCAAAGAACCTTCCCCCTCCCCCCAAGTAGTTGAAAATAGTGGTTTGAAATTTGACACTGAGAATTTTAATCGAATGTTTGGGCTTAGTTTGCATGGTCAGCTGTTGATATGCCGCTGTCCACCTGACGCACTGCTTCCAGGKTTTAATAGGCGCAACTTTACGTAAGTAAACTCAGACAGACAGACAGAAATCTCTGGACGAAATTACCTGAGAAAGAAAGAGGCTTACGTAGTSATGTTGGATGAATGAAGAGAAACTAATGAGCATTGCTTGTTCTCTTCATCCATCTTGGCTGGATGACGTAACGTGGTGTAATCCGAGACTAAAGACTTTGTGTTTGAGGCTAATARTTGTTTTGTTGTTTATAACAGAGCTTATGACCTTCTACAACATCCCAAAGAGCTCGCTCGACAAATAACAATCATTGACCATGGTCAGTAATGATAATCATTATAGTTTGTGATACAGGCTGCGTGCGCATGGGAGGGCTCCGTGGGTTTTGAAGACCTATTTCTTAGCAGCCTAAGTCTCAACAAATATATTTGACAAATCCAACAGCTAGCAACAAACTCGTGCAATTTTGCCGATGCGCCAGTGTGGATGAAACCTTAGATACACACTATGTGATAGTAGAGAGTTTAAGCATCACGTTTACAGCAAACGGCAGAGCTGAACCAATGATCTAAGAATTTCGTGTCTGACCTTGTGCTTTAGGTAGTCATTTGAAAGAACGGCTTTTCACGATTATGACAACCCCAAAATAACCCACTCTCGCGTTGAAATGTAACGGTAAACCCCCAACAAAGAAGCTCACGTGAACCTCACTAAATGATTCTGATTGTCGTGGAAAAGCACGCGGTTGTGATATTCCTCTAGAATAATCGTTATGGTGKGCGATGATCAGATTGATTGATACTCGTTTAGCTATGAGTAATAACCGCTAGATATTGATATTATTAATGTCTTTTTCAAATGAGTGGGAACCCTTTGTAATACTTATGTCAATGGTCATTTCTTTTCAGAGTATTTTTGTGCAGTGACTGCAGACGACGTTCAAAAGAAGGTTGCACTTGGTACTGGAAAGAAGAAGAGCGAACAAGAACCTCGATTACTTGTCGAACGAGTTGCTGATCGATTTAACCAGGTACAATATCTCTCATTTGTATCTCTATACTGTTGAATTATTTCTGACTTTGCTGTGGTTTTTGTAGTAGTGATTATAGTTGTTCCAAGTTGTTATCCTTACAATGTCAAGTTTTCTGTTTGTCCATGTCTTACAAACTGACAATTGCATTGTTTTGTTGTTTTGATAGTATCTACTTCTTCATTGATAGTAAAGCTAGTTTAATTTTGCTAATATATTTCTGTCAATGTAGCTAAGTACGTGGGTTGTTGCAAGTGTCCTGTCTGAAGGTAGCCCAGAGAAACGCGCCGTGATGTTTGAGAATTTTATAGAAACAGCCAAGGTAAATCTATGAAGTGTGTTATRACATATCAAGGGCCTTGTTTGCACTGGTCTTGACTATACTATGTTTATTCTTTCCAATTTCTATTCTCTTTTGAGATTAGTAAAACAACATGCAGGCCTCCATTAAACTGTAGCATTTCATAGGAGTACATAGTGTGAACGAGGACTTGAATGTTTGACTTCCCATGTGATCCCTTCTTAGAAGCTCAATCATATCTGATGTAAATAATGTGGTCTAAAACTAAAGCCTTCACTGACGATTATATCTCGATGAAAGCTGCAAGGAATAACGTAATTTCTTACATGAAACGATAAGATCCCAGATAGCGTGTTAACATTGTCTATTATCTATTATTAGCAATGTCTTGAGTTCAGGAATTTTAATGCAGTAATGGCCATTGTTGTAGCTGCTTTGGGTGCAGCACCAATCAGACGACTGGCAAAGACCAGAGAGGTACATAAAAGTATTATATGCCTTTAGAAAACGTTCTATTCTAACCCATCTCGTCTGTCCTTCTATTTTCCAATTCTTTCTGAACTTTTTATTTTCGTTTTTTCTTGTGTTCACTACCATTCACTAACTGAATTTCCCTCGCATAATGACGTCACAGCATGTTAACAGTATAAATGCTCAGAAATAGTGGAAATTTGGACTATTAATGTATACTTAACAAATAGATCTCATTTTTCCGTGCGTGTGTACTCTAATAGATACACAGATGACGTCAAAATGTAGTGAGAACAAAAAAGTACGTACGAGACGCAGTCGAGTGCGTGACTGTTGTTCTCACTACATTTTGACGTCATCTGTGTATCTATTAGAGTACACACGCACGGAAAAATGAGATCTATCTGTTTTATACAACAAACAATTAGTTTTGACGTAATCCGTGTATCTATACTTTGATAACACACGAAAGCCAACCAATCAAAACGTCTGATTTTACTGAAAAGTTGTATAATAGAGGATATTACATGGGAGCGTTAGAGAATGTTTTGGTGTGACGTAATTAATCCAGGACATTTTGATTGAAAGCAATCATTAATTACTGTAGAACGCACTAGTCTACCTACTGTAGAACGCACTAGTCTACCTACCGTAGAACGCAATAGTCTACCTACTGTAGAACGCACTAGTCTACCTACCGTAGAACGCAATAGTCT